GTACATACTATACAGACTAGTTTAGTGAATATAATTAAAAATTTATAAAAAGCTCAATACTAAACTTAGCCTGTTTCGCTGTCGATGACTGTGTATTAATCATCTGGCCTTTAGCTGGGTCTGCCCCACTCACAGAGTGGTTAGTGGGTTCACCTAGAGACAACCGCAATAGGTTATCATTAATCTACATGTATATAGAAAATATATAGTTTGTATGAGATGATTGATGTGATGCCCAGGATTTTATTATCTAAGATATTAAGTTAATTCTTAATAAAAGTGCTCGCATCTAATACCAGTTGCAGTTTAAAAAAAAAAAAACAAAAATTGGTTGATTGAGTTTAAGTATATTTTCAAACTTATTTTAAATAAATTATCCTATTATAGTTAAGCTCAAAGTATAGTTCAAACTTATAAGCTATTTTAATATGAACTAATGTATAATTAAAATTTGCAAAATAATGAAAAATTAATATTCTTATAATAAAATTATACCAATATAACTATTTGATTTAAATTTTCAAATTAATTTAAATAATTATTAGAACTCAATCTAAAAGCACAACTTAAACTTATTACAATTATTTAATTTAAGTTGATAAAATGACAAAAGATTATTATATTATTATTATTATATATTGATTTAATTTGATTAAAGTTTTCTTAAAAAGTTATTTCAAAGAGCAGCTCAAAATTTTTTAATTATTTACACAATTTATAGGCAACAAATTTTGTCAAGAAATGTAAAAAAAAAACTTTAAGAAAAAGATTTGAAACAGTTTTTATGACAAAATAATAAATAAAAAAAAAAACCAGATATTATTGAAAAAAAAAAAAGAATCAAATGATGCAAAGATAGGTTGGATGTATAAATTGCACAAAACCATGAAAAATTTATATCATCTCCAGTAGAAAATTTGAATAAAGAAGATAGAAAAAGAGAGAAGAGAAAGAATTATACTAAAATATTAAAAAATAAGTTTGTCAAGATATCAAGTGATTTGATTTTTAAATTATAGACAAAACTTGGAATGATCTACAGTATAATGATCAATGGTTTTACTAACATATAATTAATCCAAATTAACAAAGAAGCAAAATAGCATCCCTAAGTCATATCTAAAGAAATACAGTATATTTTTTACAATAAATGAGTTACTGTAGCATGTGATAGTTACAAAAGTTTGTAGATATCTAGTATATATTAAAATATATAATTTGAATCCCTAAAATTGATAAATTAGTCTAACACTCCTACCATATAAGCTAGTTACTTTAATTTGCAGCGGGGTTTAAAAATTTTTTGTGTTAGGAAGAAAATGCAATCATGTCTAGGGAATTTATCTTGATTATCAACCAGGATCGGGTCTCCAAGTTAGGGAAACAATTTTCTAAGGGCTTTTTTATTAATTTGAATTTTTATTATATATTTGCATTAAATTACCATAACGGTATAAGCCCAACTAGGTCAAACCGGTTCAAGTTATTGGATAAAGTTATTTTGTTCCGTGCACCGTACACCGTAAAGAAATCGGATTTGATATTTAACAGGAATTCATCTCCTTTAAGAAAGAGCAGATGAACTTTATATTACGAACAAAATAGTTGCCCGAACATCACATGCACAGTTTCAAGCTTTTAACTTGATCCAACGCGACGGCTTTTCAGCGTGCAAATTTTATCAGCCTCGGGGCGCCTCAAATGAAAGAGGTGGAGCCTTCTGATATGCAGTAAGTGTATGCCATGCGTTTCGGCATAAGAATAGAGAAATTGCTATAATTTAATGATAATAAAATTGGGAGATTCTGTGAAGCCAGAAATTCGGAATTGACATACAAAGGGTAATGTGTGTATGAATAATGTATTTGACGAATGCCTTGAGATTGAAAAACGAAAAATTATTTAGAATAGTGGCAAAGTGGACATTTATCGCATTATTCATGAAGGATGATTAATATTAAAAAGGTACACGCTATTCTATAAAGCGTAATTTGAAACAGGTACAATTAAACAAAGTTTTATTACTCTTATAAAAAAATTATCATGACAAAAAATGCGTGAATTATTGGTCAAAAATGATTTTGTATTTACATAAACAACGTTGCACGCGATTCATGGTGACTCGAATGACGAGAAGCCAAACTGAAAAGCCAATTCTCGACTTGCGCCGAGGAACCTTTGTTCATTCGTCGCAAGTTATAACCGTCACTCCATTTTTTCCGATCTTCCGCGTAACGCCGCGAAACTTTGGACATAAAATTTTTGTGCCATTTTATTCTGCCTGACAACCATTCCACCAATTCAGCCTCATTATGTGATTGTCGATCCCACATCTCAATCATCGATTTCACTTCTTCTGCCCAGTAATATCGACGCACTGGAACAGAGAACACACCACCCCGGATCCATACGCAAGGTATCGTGTCAATGACGTCTATGGGAATCCGATTTGTTATTAGGATTTTTTCGTGTCTGTTGGGTGGAAGAATGTATCATTAAGCTGATAATTTGAAGTGAAAACTGACGCAAGATCGGGTCAAGTCATTTTCAAAACATACGTCACAGTTCTTTTAAGCAGGCACAAATCACAACATCTAATCCCAAATTCCCAGTATAGACTAGCACTACCTGGCTCGTTTGTTCCACAGAATTCGCATCTCTTATCAAAATTTGTAATTTTAATGTAACGTTCCTCATCCATTCCTTGTGGTGGTGGTAATTCTGGATAAGTTAGGAAGCTGGTCCTTGACTTGCGCCAGATGGCTTGCGAGACCCATGTTTTTGAGCAAAGATGGATGTGAAATTGTTTGCAGACCCTCGAAAGCGCGACAATATCGAGTGGAGCAAGGTACTCACAGATCTTTGCAAATATTTCTAAAGAAGCGGAGACTATCGGAGGCTGTTGCACCGAGAGTGAAAAGTAATTTTGAGAGTCTTGATGTGTCCGCACTGAGAGTTGATGAGTTGGCGGTGGGGAAGTATTTGGCGATAATTGTGGAGAAGAGCTTGACGGCGAAGACAAGTTATCGTGATCTTTTAGGTGAAGGAAGAACTCTGCGTCGGTAGCCCTCGGTGGAACCATTCTAACAATTTACACTTCGCTTCAAAATCGACAAGAGTTTTCTCATGAATCCCAGAAATTGCTATTTTATTATATACGGGTTCGATAATCGACAAAATTTCAAACAGCCGATCAACTCATTGAGATCCGAGTTTTCTACCGTAATGAGAAATTGAGAATTCAAAAACAAATAAGTCATGCTTTGGGGAACTATTTATTATAACAGGTGGTGATACCCTTTTCCTAAAATAAGCAGCATATGAAGTGATGTTAAAGTGATACGAGATTGAACACCCGATGGTAATAAGGCTTGACCTTCTGGTGGAAAGGCGGAACCATCAATCGGACGGTCGTCGACTACACAGAGACTCCGATGTTCAAAACTTCTCGAAAAAGATATTAAACAATATACGTTTTGCATCAATCGCGTATGCGGTTGAGATGATCGCAGCGCCTACATTATTTCTGATACATTCGACTCGTACCATACTTATTTTCCATATATGTGAGCAATTGAATTTTGCCTAAAAAGATTGGAAAAACATAATGATGCATTTCTCCTTTGTACATATGAATTGCCCTTTTCATTTACGATGGTATGCCTGTCCGCTGCATGTTCGTCTATATTTCTGATTTTTTTTTTTTTTTTACCACCTTGTCACAATAATCCGATAGATACTTTTGTTCGTAATTTCACCACAAGATCATTTCCTTTTGAAGAAACAAACATGATAAAGTGAAGACGCAATGATAAATAACAAATATCAAAGAAACTTGCGCCATTGTGAGGATTAACCTGTTGAGATCACTTTACTTCACATCCATTCTAAGCACGATCGTCAGTGTTGTAAGCCAACGTCCGAGGTAGAGATTGGAAAAGAAATAACGTGCATTGTATTCTTAGAGAACAATATCTATAATGTCCCCTCGCATTCCTCCCGAACTTTTTCCCCTATGAATTTTTACGATGAACATTGCCGCCCCCGCTGGTACTACGGAAAATCTCGCCGCCCCAAGAAGAAGAAGAAGAAAAGAAAAAAAAAAATCCAAATCTCTGGTCTTGCTTTAATGTTAGCCACGAGATCTGGTCCGTAATAATCCGTATGCTGTATGCTGTCTCTGTTCGAATTAGATAAGCCCTAAAGGTTCGGGTATACCCACGCAAAGCCGATCAATTGTTGTCCCATATCACCGCAATCACAAGATGTTTTGATAAGGAATAATTTTGGCTCATCCGATATGCGAGGCACAGGATTCTTTGTTTATCGTAGTACACTTATAAGCAAAAAAAAAGTCTGTAAATAAACAACAAACAATAGGTTTTTCGTATTTTGGATATATTAATCTATCGTGTTCGGGGGACATGTTCCATCGAATAGTGCACATATGTTTGGTCATGTACATAAAAAAAGCCTCAATGGGTTGTTGATTGAATCGACAAAACGTTTGTAACTCACGCGGTGGTTCCACTGCAAGAGACACATTGGTTTCTTCCGCTTTCAGACTTCAAGAAAGCTCGAGCAAAGCAGAATGTTACCAATGACATCGTAAATTCGAATTTCTTGGACTTGAGATTAGTTCCGGTTCCGAACTTGCACCAAGTTTCAGAAGTCATTCTGATGCGTTACGTGCATGCGATTTACCAGTTTACACGTAAGGAATATTTGAATAGCGTTACGTAATACGACTTTAACTGTTTATAGTATAGTAGATGTTAGGTAATGAATGAGATTGAATGCATCAATAAGTTCTGCGCATAAAACGAGAATCAAGAATTACTGTATACGGCATGTTGTGATTTAACCAAATTTGGTGTTCTTGTTAATCCACCAAAGAAACTAATAAAAATTTGTAAATTTGGTGAATTAATACGTGTATCATACAGTAGGTTATACGAATATTGCGACATTATTTTGAATTTACACATATAATCGATTTTTCTTATTGTACTAAAAAAAAAAAAAAGCCTCCAAAAGAAGATCCACTTTCGGTTTAACCTGGTCTCTCTTCTAGTACGCACTGCCTTTACCATAAATAAAATTATAATAATCGCCATTTAAGAAATGACTTTTAATATCGTGACCTTCATAATAGTTGATTCGTTTTCTTTTCGTTCGTTCAACAATAAAATCATCCTCAACATCATCAACTCTTCTTTTGGTGTGTTCCAGAGGGTCGAAACTTTGGTGACAAAATGATGTCGGGTTGTACAAGTTCCGCTGAAAATCATGGCACTCAAATGGCTCGGATGGTTCGGTAAGCATTTTTAAACAGTGGGAGCATAGAATTGCATGTAGGTGTCTATTAATTTCGTACTCCTATTTTTTTTTTTAAAAGGAATGATAACAATAGCGAATAAATAATTAAAAGGTTATCAGGTAAGTGGTTTGGTGGCAAAAGGAACGAGAGTTACCTTATTGCAAGAACCGTTATACCCCAATGCTCGCCTGTACTTTTCAAAATACAATGACAAGATTTTCAAATGAACCTCTGAGGTTTTCGAAAAATCGACTTCTCTATCTGACTTTCGAAACAAAATGGACAACTCGCTATTCTCCTGAACAGTTGTTTCCTGAACCAAGCTCTCTTGAAACAGAACGATCAATTCATTGTTCCGTTTGATCAAGGTCTCCAATTTCACTCTAGTATCAGTGTCGCCAACATCATCGGTCATTCCAGATAGTTTGGCATCTTTCATTGAATGCGGATTGAATAGCGACTCAAAGATGACGGAAAGGCATGCGCTGGTAAAATTGCCACCATTTCCATCGCTTATTCTGCGAGAGCTGCGACTATGATGGAAACCGAAAGGATACCAATTTTTACGGCTCAGATTAGAGGAACCGAAATTACCGCTGCCGAGGGTGTCTGCGTCACCGCAGATATGCCGACTACAAAAGTTTAAGATATTCAAATTGACGATCGCATATGGAGAGATTGAAGTGTTGGTAAAATGAAATCGAAGTGGATCCTTGATGGCCTTTTCATTCCGTATCGTAAAGAAAGAACCACGATTATGGGAGCCTTGGGATAAGTGGCAACGAAATTTTGCCATATCCTACAATTGAACAAGCTAATACGCCGTAAGGTATGTTTTAATATTACCAAAATTGCAAACTATGGTGAATCAACGTCATTTCATTTTTTTGGCTGACGGTCAATTAAATATGGTGTAATTCCAAAGACGAAGTGCGTGATTACAAATCTTCAAAAGTATGAACACGGTTACACCGAAAGGAAAAATTCAAAAGTTCTATATGTGGTTTTATTTGTTTGTTTTTTTTTTTTTTTTTTTTTTTTTTTTTTACTAATATCAACTTGACACTCACTCTAAACATGGAACAAACCAATTTTATTCAATTAAATATTTGCTACAAATCTATTTAAAAAAAAAAGTTAATAATCAGATATTATGTTTAAATGAGGTGATTTAGAGAATTGTTTTAATCAAGATTTTCTTATAACCAGTCAATACAAATTTCATGAATTGTTTTTGGCATATCGGTTGCTTTTTTATTTTTGTTTTTACTTTTTCCCTTACTTTATTTGCGAAGAAACAGAAACGTGATATATTGGTTGTGTATCTCCAATAAGTAAATAGATGATATTTATGTATTACGTGAAATGTTTTGTAGGTAAAAATCTTGACGGTCACCATGCTTCAAGGGCACCGCCAAGGTGTACTCGTGTAACTGGCGAGGCAACCTTTCAACTTACGCATTCACATCACTCAAAATTTCTTGAGAATGTGAATGCCTTGTGCGTTTCTTTATTCGGAGGATTTTCCATACAGAATTTTATAATAAATCATTGTTTTGAAAATGCATGTCATATACAATGTCGATATACGAGGAATAAGTTTGAATAATGCTGATCCACGCGAGGCGACATACAATTAGCTACTTGATGCGAAGAGAATTCCATGTTGTCATTTATGGTATTAGTAATGCCTATGAAAGTGTGATGAGTGCTTTTTTGTGGTCATTCGAATGAAAGTTTAAAATAAATTATCTAAAACACATTGAATTTAGACATCAACAAAAATCCTCTGAACTTAAGTAACGCGAATGCTCCATTCCAACTCTTATTATCCACAACCAACCATTGTATCTTGAAAACATTTCTTTAATGAAAACACACACAATCTTGTTATTCTAAATTACGATTGGAATACGTGAAATTAGAGGCAATGACGGAAGAAATAACGACCAACGAAGAACGACGTAGAACGGATAATTCCGCCGCAACACCAGTTCCACAACAAGAAACGCTAGAGAAAGAGTCCAATGGCAATGGGATAGCGGCAGAACAACAACCATTGGTGATGTCGAAACTGGATTTCGTATTACTGTTCCTCGGTTTGGTGCTTACCTGCTTCTTGGCCAGTTTAGATGGTAGGGTTACAATTTCTTTCTTCTTCTTAATCATTCTCGCCTCACATTCTGAGGTTGACACGATTTCACTTGATTAATAATTAGGTACAATTGTCAGTACTGCATTGCCTCGAATTGCCGGCGATTTAAATGCTATGGAAAAGTACAGTTTGGTATGTCCATCCTTCCGAACATACTTTGTCACCAACGACAGACGTATTTCGGGACATTCAATTTATTTGCTAACATGCCTCGATGTTAACCAACGAAACAATATCATCCTTTTTTTCTTGCTCAACACGTGCAGGTCGCGACGTCCTATCTGTTGACTTATGTAAGCCGTACTCCTAAATAACTTGTGTCCGAACTCTTTTCGCTGACAAACAATTTATTACTATCCTTAGAATGCTTTCCAACCTCTATATGGTAAACTTTCGGATATCTTCGGTCGACGGTCGACAATGACCTTTTCCATCTTGATCTTTTTGATCGGATCGACGGGAAGTGGTGTTGCGAGATCAATTGATGTGCTTATCCTATCCCGCGCTATACAGGGCGTTGGCGGAAGTGGGATGCTATCAATGGTTTTCATCACCATCAGCGATCTATTTCCGTTGGAAAAGAGGCTAAAATACCAGGCCATTATTTGGGCCGCGTTTGGTGTTTCATCGGTGGTCGGTCCAGTCTTGGGTGGAAGTTTCGTCGATCATCTAACCTGGCGTTGGGTCGTATGTATCTACGCTGTACGTGTTTGATCTAAGCCGCACTTCACCGACATCCATTCTTTTTCTCCTTCCAGTTTTTAATAAACCTTCCATTCGGAGTTATTGCAATGTTTTGCGTTTTGTTCTTCTTAAAGCTCCCTTTTTCCTACACCTCCCTTAAAACCAAGCTCCTGCGAATCGACTGGTTGGGTTCGATTCTCATCGTCTGCATCGTTATCACAATCCTTTTGCCCACATCGTGGGGTGGAAACACCTATCCGTGGGGATCAGCTCCTGTAATTTCCTTGTATTTGACCTCCGCATTTTTAACTGGATTATTCATTCTCGTTGAACATCGCTTTGCTATAGAACCACTCATGCCTGGTCGTATTCTTAATATGACTGTGGTGGCTGTTTATTTCACAAACTTCTTCACAGGTGTTGCCTTATTTTCAATTATTTTCTACGTCCCTGTTTTCTTCCAAGCTGTTCGCGGTAATTCAGCAACTACTTCCGGATTACAACTAATGCCTCTATTGTTGGGTCTCGTGATCTTCTCCATAGTTAATATCTTTTCCTCTTCAGTTATACGTGATTTAATTCTACATACTATATATAAAGTATATACGCAAAAAATTAATATCGTGCTTCTTGAAATCAAATAGATATCCAGTCTAACGGAATGCAAAACCCCGGGTGGCTACAAATTTTACATAGTATTTGGATGCATATTAGTGATTATAGGAATGGGTTTGCTGAGCACCTTCTCCGAGGACACATCACGCATAAAAGAAATATTTTATTTATTAATTCTCGGAATGGGTTTCGGATTTGAATTACAAATGTGTTTGATTGCAGCTCAGGGAGCCGTTCCTCAAGAGGGTATTCGTTTTTGCACCTATTTTCCATTTACGTAATGGCCAATTCTTAGAATCTTTTCTGATACTTACTGTAAGATCCTCCAAAACAGATATGGCGGTTGTGACTGCTCTCGCAGGTTTCTTCCAGTCAATAGGAGGTGCTATTGGTGTTTCGATCGCAAGTGCTCTACTTAATAATTATCTATTAAATCATGTTCTCAGCATTCCGGAAATCGCTCAAGCAAGTATATTTCTCCTTTGGCATTTACCTGCTATAAACATTTCCAATTGACAAAAAAAAAACCCCCAAAATTTCCAAAACAGCAACCTGGCGTACTCGACCTACTCAAGAACTCGATATCAGGGATTTCCTCGTTACCAGAGCCCATAAGGACGTCGGTAATACACCTATACGTGAATGGGTTGCGTCTGGTGTTCAGAACAGATATTGTATTTTCTGGCGTCGCCCTAGTGACTTGTCTGTTCATCAAGAAGCACAATAGGTGTCAAATGGTGGGCCAGAAAGAACACTTATATTTCGCCTAAATTCAATCAACGAAACTTTACGTATTGGCCTTTTTTGACCGCTTAGAAGAAATCCAATGGTGCGTAAAAGTCTAATATAAAAATTTAGGAATAAATAATATAATGATAAAAATAATTTTATTTTGAAGTATATACAGTATGGGTCAAAAGCCATTTTTCATTTTAATTTAATAACCGATAATTTAAATTATTTATAAATTTATAAATACTTTCTTTAGTATAGATTAATCGTGAACTATTTTATTAAATTTGATTCATTTATATATTTAAAATTTAAAAAAATTTTTTTTTCTTAATACGAATTTAAATGAAACCTATTTTAAATACTTGAAATCGTATGTTTTTTATTAATAAGAAAAAAAAAAGGCATGATTTATAATTAAAAAAAATCACATTCTGCTGATAATATCAAAAATTATCAAAAAACCTACAGTACATGCATAAATTTGTTATATAAGAAATCGGCATGATATTCTTTTATTGCTTGGTTCCTTATTGATTCCATTAATTTGATTAAAATAAATCAAGGAATTTCGTGATATTCTCTTTTTCCTCAATAATGTTAACTAGTAATTTCTATCTTTCTATATTATTTATGATAATTGAACACAAGTTTCTAATAACATTCAAACATAATAAATTCGCAAGACAATCAATGATTTGATTGATATTCTTCATAATTAATATTTGAGTAATCTTTTATTTACACTTCAAATTATTATTCTATTATAATTATTACCTGGTTTCTAATACATTACATATTTATTTTATAAAGACAAGTATAAAAAATTTAATATAGAAATTATTGTCTAATATCCTTTTTCTTTTTATAAAAATTATTTTAAGTGAAGATTTTTCATCGATTATTAAAAATTGTATAAATCAATTAAAAACTTTTTTATTAATGTTACAAAGTATTCTGAAATAAGAAAAACCTATCTAATTAATAAAAATAATATGGTTTCATTTGTTTTTTTAGATTTAATAAATCTGTGTTGTATACTGGATACTATTTATACAGTATATTTTATATGTTTTATAAATATTAATATAACTTATGAATTTATAATATACTGTAATGATGGCGCCCTTGAGTTATAATATATAATTTAGAGTTCAAATCTAGAAAAAAACAAATTTAAAATAATATAAAATTATAAATATTGATTTATATATTTTTTTCAATACTTGTTTTTTATTTTCTTAAAATAGAACTTAAAATAAAAGATTTTTCTAATTAATTCTAAACTTACTTAATTTAATTCAAACAAAAAATAATAAATAAAAAATATATATATTAGTTAAAAAAACTCTTTCTATTGATCTTTTTTTCTTTAAAATTTCCTTTTTTAATAATTTTCTTGAAAAAAAGAAGACAGCTTAAAAAACATTTTATTTTTTCAAAATCTAAGACTTGATAACAAACTATAACACTTAACTATTTCCCCAAAGATATTTTTATTAATCAACAGAAGTATAGACAGCATAGCATTATTTTAACTTTACTTTATATGAAAAAAAATATATTTATAAGCTGATTCACAGTAAGTTTAAGAAAGCCCAATATCATCTTCTCAAGTTTTTGGCCAGGTCAATGTTAGTTTACATCTTTCTAAATACTAGAAAGAACTTTATAAACAGTAGCTCTTATCAATAAATAAATAAAAACTCAAAGTTTATAAAGATTTAAAGAACATTAAAGGCCCTCAAAAACTAAATAGTAAAGTATTTTGATTTTATATATATCTAATTAAACAATAAATAAATTGTATGAATATGTATATATTAACTAGTATAGTATTAAAATAATACAACAAGGTTTATCAAAAGCCCACAAACAAAATAGATTATTCTATTATAATAATAAAATTCAATAACAAATCTAGTAAATAAGCAGAATCAAACAGAAAAGATCAATAACTTATCTAAGTAAATAAAAACCTAAATAAGATAACAAACAGTTAACTTTGTAAACCTTGTTAAATATAAATAAACAAAATAACAATTAATAATTTATTTTCTTTCATATATAACTAATATAACAAAAGAATAGAAAATTATATAAATTGTGAAAAAGTAAGAACTTTATATTCTTAATATAATAGTTAAAATAGTTAAAAAATATGACTAGAAGAATGAAACATAGGCTATTCAAATTATTTTTGATACTTTCATCATACAAAATAAGTTTAAGTAAATATTAAAATTAGTAGGATACATGATACTTGATAATATTCTGACAAAAATTTTAAATATAAATCCATCTATATTCATTAAAGCTGAGGTTTTCAAACAGTATATTCTATAATTATAAATAAAAGATCAAAAAAAAGAAAAAGATCTTATAACATTCTTCTTGAAAAAAAAAGTCAAATGTATTTGAAAACAAAATACTTTGAAAAAGGGATTCTTTTTCTACACTTTTGAAACTTTTCAGATTAAAAATAAATTTATAAATTTTATAATAAGAAATCCAACCTTAAATAAAAACATCTTTTCAAATAAAGATATGAAAGTTTAACCAACAATTATAATTGAAATTATAAATAATATTGAAATCAAAATGGGTGATAAAAAATTGAAAAAACAACTTGAAATGAAAATTATATAGAAAAAAGTTGAAGAAGAGAATATGCAAAACAATCTTTTATAATATACAAAATAGATTCAAGTTATTCAGCTTCAATTTATTTTATATCATTAAAAAAAAAATTCAAGGTTGGAATTCTTATCTTCAGAATATCCGAAGATATAGAAAAAAAATGAATAGTCTATCTCTAAAGTATCTTAAGCTTATATAAAGATATACTATTATTTAAAAAAGATTTTATCAATAGTAATATCTAAATAACTTTTAACTTTAAAGAAGTTAAAGAGACCTTAAAATATATAGAAAAGATTAATAAGAAAAAAGATAAAAACTTTATCTTGATTCCTATACAAGCAAAGAAATAAAAAACCTTATACTTAATATCAAAAAGAAAAATTTCAAGCAAAAGATAGTAGAAGAAGAAAACAAGACAATAGTTGTTATACTGATCAATTTTAACTACAGCTATACTTATCAAGAAATTAAGATCAACCTATAAAAATATAAAAAGGTTTTAAGCATCCATATTTATAATTACTCTCACTCTTAAGGCAAAAATTATAACATAACTTATTCTAAACCAACAAGACTTGAATAACAACTGATTTATTTCTATCAAAATGAATACCTTTAGGACAATATTTACTCAACATGAATTAGATAATCACAAAGTTAATACTTTCTCAAAAACTGTGACAACTAGTTTTTATGACCATATAGTATATATAATTAAAGATGGGTCTCTAAAGAGGGAGGCAGGGACATAAGTCAAATGTCCCTCACTAGGAAACATTAAAATTTTTAAATTAATAACTATAAA